CAGACAGACTTGTGGGACCAGATGTTTCGTGGGCCAGTTCAAGTTCAGAGGTCGCACAAGTTTCTTTTGGATGCAAAGTTGTGGATCCAGCAGTCGGATTCCTATCGCCTCTGCGATCGATAGTACCAGTCGTGATCCGTTCAGAGATATCCGGTATATAATGGTGAAGGCTTGCTCCTTGCCTATGACATGACAGGTTTCGGCCAAGTGTGCTGCAATCGCGCTTGAGCCTGATTTCTTTCCACTACCACTCAGAGATACGGGATTGTGTTCTCGTATTCTGTCCGACAAATGCCTTGTCGTACGACCAACGTATGATGCTCGGCACGAGCATACGAATGAGTACACACCTTGAAGGAAACAGTCAAAAGTGAACTATCTTTCGGTTCAGGGCTTTGACCTTGAGCTAGTTTTCAGACAAACCGACCAGAAGTCAGCTTTTCTACCAATTGGTGTCAGGAGTGCAAATCGATGGGAACTCTGTATGCTACAATTCCCTCTTGGGTTGTATAGCATTGTATGCAATAAATTGGGTAAAGATGTACGAGTTCCAAATCGCTCGTAAATTCCAATGGTGTTGGTAGTTCCGCCCGCCTGATCTAAATACTGCGTGTAAATCAATCAACCTATGGTAAAAGAGACCGGCTAGGGGCGGGATGGCTAAGTGGTTAGAGCCGGAAGGTCCGTGGTTCAAATGCGACCTCTGCCTCTCGACTTCCCCTGTCTAGGCCCTCGCAGTATCCCAGCCATCGTGCTTCCTTCTGGTGGCGTGGCAACTAGGCACCGAAAGATGCTACAGCTGAACGATTTAGGAAACGGCTGGAGAAAATGCAGTTTGGTTATATCAGTGGCTTGTCAAGTGATTCGGGCTTGTTCCAGCATCGTAGGCAGATCAGTAGCATGCTCATATCGAATTGAATACAAGAAAACTATCATGGCATGTATATTTCATTGCTCATCCAGAAAGTCGTGGCAGTTCCCCTTTCGGGAGCGCCATACTGGAGTTGGTAAGAGTCAACTTCGGAGAAGGGAGACTATCACCGTTTCTTAAGTGGGTGCAGTTATAGCTGCCTGGAGGGACTACCCTCAGAAAAGACCGTTTCTGATTGGCCTTCAGAAACACATGAATACAGAGTGCTCATAATAGACGCAAAAATAATACCCATGTTAAAACTTTAAAACCAATTCAAACATTTATCATTTTATATGTGGACACACTTGCACCATGGAGGTTTACCGTGAAAAACTGGCATTACAAAGGATGTTGAAAGAAACCGCCCTTTCCTTCTATAACAAGTTGGAGGCGGTATGAGATGTGAAACACAGCATGTTTAACTTCTTCAAGCGTCACTCGTGCACACTCTTTAATTCTTACTCCTAACTCCGCCAAATTCTTCGGTTTATTTTCATGATATACGCGAGCCTTGATCATCCCCCAAAACCAATAATCCAGAGGTGTGAGATCGGGTGACATCGCGGGCCAAATGTTTGGAAATCTACGAGCAATGACTCTCTCACCAGAAAATTGCTCTTGGAGATAAGTTATCACTTGGTTTGAGTAGTGGGGTGGAGCACCATCTTGTTGAAAGACGGTCGGTGACTTCTTGTGCTGCTTGAGTTGCGGGATAACATGCTTCTGCAGCATATGGAGGTAACTGTCGCTGGAAACCGTAGCATCAAAGAAAAAAGGGACGCAGGAGACACTTTGAGGAGAACCCCATCCATACACAGAGATGAGGGGAATAAAGATTGTGGGTGAGGTACTCGTGAGGAGCTTCACGAGACCATATCACGCAATTGTGCTTGTTGATTATGCCATCCAAAGAAAAATTTGCTTCACCGCTCCATAAGATGTTGGGAACGATTTCTTCATTGTCTAGCAGTCAGTCAGCGAACGTAACACGTTGCTCCTTGTCTTCTTCCGTGATGTTTTGTAATAAAGTGAAATGATACAGGTAGAGATGAAGGTGGCGTCTCATAATACGGTGCACACGAACCTCCTTTATGTGGCTACTAATAATGAATGATTTTGTCGTCCTTCCTCTGATTGACTACGTTTACTCATCCAATCAAATTTTGCGTCTATTATGAGACACCCTGTAATCTAGTCCTCCTGGAGAGTCAGCTTTTAGTCACCCTGTTCCAGCAGTCCCTTTAGGAGAATAACCAAATCCAGGTTTTGCATGGCCCTACCATGTGTGATGGATGACTTCTGCGTTTATGGACCATTCCTCTAATCGCGGCGAAGTCCATCGTTCCGATTACTTCCTCCTACGGCAGTTTGGCTGTCCCGTTTATTGCCTACCGCCCAGCTGTGCTTGACAGCTGTCCCTCGGACAAGCTTTCCAGCGTCACTACTAGTCTGCCCTGGAGACCATGGTACTAGTGAAAGGAAGAGGGCATTCGCTGCGGAGTTATTTATCGGGAAATGCCAAGTGAACAGTTACAGACTATTGAACAGGGAAGCAAAACTCATATGCATCTTGTTCACTTTCTCCTTGAACTCGTCTTCCTGAACTTTCCTGGATATTCATTGACTGTTGCTCAAATGCAAGCAAATGCGATTCCACGAACTCCGTAATAGATCTTACTTCTCAAGAGACACGAAGCGGATTTACGAGAAACCATACTACTCGCATGCCTCCCATCAGTAGTGTCCACCGTTACACTTCAGTTCACCAAAAGGTTACATACGTACGTTTCTATCTGTCGATTAAATCTGTCCTGTGCCGCTCGGCCAACTGTGGGCATATGTCTAAATGTGTTCAACTTTATACTTTTTGATATGTCTAAATGTGTTCAACTTTATACTATCACCGTGGATTTCCCACTCTCCCTCCCATCAGCTTTCTTCCAGTCCAAACGGTTCTGAAGCAATGCTCACCATCTTTCGAGATCCACCAACCAGCAGACAACTAGAACTATTCAATCCGGCCGTGCTGCTCATCTACAGCATTGCCTTGCTGTCCATCGTCCTCGGTTGTGCGATGATCTTCCTGTCATATGAGGACTTGTAAGTTTTTTTCCTCTTTCACTTCTGCCCGCTTTGAGAGATCTCCGGAGTTTTGCCTCTTTCCTAAGTGGGAAAACTGTATGGTTACTTGTATCGCCGTGAACCGCCTAAGGAATGTCATCGTTAGGTCCGCGTCGATTAATTTCGGCTTGACTCCAGGTACCACTAACTGGAGCGTATACACGTGACCATTCGAGCACTTGTGCAATGTGCTGTAGTGTAGGTGTGAGTGTAGGTGTTGTCAGATAAAACTTCATGCTGTAATCAAATGAATTAGTGCGGTTTTTTGACTTTTTATCTGTCCGTAGCAAATACTTGTATCAAATTCGCTCGACCATACAGCTAAAACGGTGGTGGAAGTTAGATAGAATCTGTTGTTAATGCTGTCAACTTAGCTTGTCAGCCGTAAACCGCTCGCGTTGTTATCGTTCCAGTCAGAGGGTGAGTTGCGTGGACGAGCTAGCTTCGAAGTTCATCCCTAGAATTGGTTTCTCCCTTTGTTCTTTTGGTTAGTTTCAAGTATCATCCGATCCAGTACCCAATACTCGCTTACCAACTCTTGTCACGAACTCGCTGTATTCAGTGGGTGCCCTCATTGACTGACGAACATAACCCAGGAACTTGATGTGATGGATTACTTGGGATTCTTACAAACTGGGTGGTAGTGCCTCGTTGGATCTAAACAGACTAATCATCTTCATCGACAG